CACAGCGCCCCCTGCGCTGGGAGGACCGAACTGCGGCCGCTGTGCGGGGGGGAGCCCTGGTTTGAGTTCCCGGTAGCCTGCGGGGGTCACCGCCTCCTGTTCCTTGAGGATATCAGGAGCTGATCTTGTCCAGAATCGAGATGTCGTTACCAGACTTCTCACGCTCCCTCTCCAAACTCACACTCTGGAGGGAGCGTACCTTATCTAGACCTAAGGTTTCTCCAGGGTCCCCACAGCCTAGCAGGCAGGGCCCGCAGATCTCCGTACTTATTTGTCAGCTGATGGCGTAGCCAGTTTACTGCGGTCAAGGTGGAGCGGGAAGGCCTAAACTTTGCACAAAAAGAAAGAAATTTCATGTGCAGACCTCAGAGAGCACAGCAGAGTAAGAAGGTGGGGATAACACACCTGTGAGGGCAGGGGCCCCAGAGCGTCACAGAGGTGAGATCCTCAGTCCTACAGGTCCAGAACTGCACACCCCTTCACCCAGTTACCCAAGGGTGACTTGCCTCCCCATGGCTTGAGAAAACCCAAATGTAAATGTTGACTTTACTCTGAAAAGTAATCCTGTCACACCAGGATGCTGGGGCAAGCTGGGAGCAGGCTGTCTTCCAAAGCAAGCAAAGAAACTAATAAGGCTTTCCTAGTCTTGCCTCAGGCCTCTCAGCTCCTCAGCCATAGCCCACTGCCAGGTCCCTTCTGCACATGGCTGCCCACCATATTTGGCTTTTCCTAGTTTAGTGGCCTAATTTCTAAAGGCCTGGAGATACTGACCAGCTGGGGGTAGAGCAGGCTTCTCAGGCCTCTTGTTACCGACAGGCCAGGCTCAGCTTGCCTTCTCATATTAAACAAATGACCTGAAAGTCCAAAAGTTGGTGCAAGGATTGGAAGGTTTATTCAGATTACTGGTACTCAACTAACTGTTTAACCAAGCAAGCAAAGAGAAAAGAGTGTGGAAGTAGAGATAACCCCCAACCTTTTTGGTAAACAATACCAGATACTTAGGACCT